ATATTATCTTATATATTTAATAATATTAAAAACTAATCAATCTGACCAAACCACACCAATCTAATTTAAGTTAAATTAATTTAAAAAATATTAAAATCTAAATTAAACAACATTGCAAACACCCAAATATACATATAATAGAAGGTACTATAATGCTACAACAAAATCCTCCAATTACAATCCCAAATGCTCCTTGACTTTGATTTCCTCCCTACTCTTTCCAAGCTACCCCTAGGGATGGCAATTTCCCTTAATTCCTATAGGGCCTTTGTAGGAATCCCCACCATGGGGTGGGGCGAGGAGGAATATTCCTCCCCGCGAGCAAGGGATGGGGCAGTAGTGGAGGGAAAGGGGGGTGAGGGGGGGCACTCGCCTCCCCCTAAAATTTGAAAATTTGGTAAATTAATATATAAAAAATTATCTTGCCCCCTTGAACTTTGAAAATTTGTAAATTAATATATGTAAAATTTTCTTTTCCTCCCTCCTTGAAGTTTGAAAATTTTTCAATAAAAGTATTTAGTTATGAAACTTATTAGTCCATTTTTTACTGCCCACTTCTAAACACACTCATCATTTGATATAAAGCCCCTTATAGTAATTCCACTCATCATTTGATACAAAATCTCTTATATTAAGCCCAACCCATATTAGTGAAAAAAAACATAGAGGGCATCAGAGACGCCAAGTTAGCGAAAAAAGCATAAAGAGTGTTGGAGACGCCATTTCCGATTCGGAGTCCAACTCAATACTCATCACTCATGCACAGTAGATTAAAGGAGAATGGTAAAGGAGAGAGTAGAGAATTTGGAACGCTAGAAAGGTGAAAGGTATTTAGGTTAGTACTCAAAACTCAAAAGCGTTTAATTTTTTAGAGTTTTTTTTATCAATTTATTAGTGTGGTCGGTAAGTGGTCCCCAAAATCATAAGAAGACAGTTTTTTTTGCTCCTCTCTCTTTTGGTCAATTTAATGCTCCTCTCTCTTTTGGTCAATTCAATTCAATGCAAGGGGCACTAGAGCATATTCTTAACTTTTTATCTCCCTATTCTCTTTATATTTATAGTTAATTTTGTTGAGTTATTGAAAAAAATTATAATTTCATACTCTTGGAAAGTCGGAATTACAGTTACTCATTATAATTTAATTCTTTTTATGTTAGGTTTTGGTCAATCTGATTCAAAGCAAGGAGCACCAGAGTAGGTTCTTAACTTTTTATCTCTATTCTTTTTATATTTATAGTTACTTTTGTTGAGTGATTGAAAAAATTATAACTTCATACTCTTGGAAAGTTAGAATTATAGTTACTCATTATAATTTAATTTTTCTTATATTAGTTTTTGAGTTTTTTGTGCAATTGTTAAATTTGTGGTAAATAATGAATGTGATATTTTAAATATTTTATTTGAACCATGAACAAAAAATTATGTGTTTCAATGGTCAATTTTTTTTCCTTCTAGGGTTTTGTGATACTACCCTTTGTTTTAGTTTGTGAAGAAACTAAAGCGTTATTAGAGTTTTTTGCTTTTTGAGATCTTATGAGAGAGAGCAAGGGATTATTTTTATCAGGATACTTAGGCATCAAGAAATGCATACGAGTAGTTGAGGTTTTGGAATTTCTTATCATAGTTAGTTTAGTAATATGGTTTCTTTTTGTTTGTATTTAATAGAGAACGTGCAATTAGTTAAAAGTTTAAATCTTTGTATGAAAAACTTAACATTTGAATTTTAAAATAAATGAAAATTTTTTTAAAAGAGATAATTATTTTTTATTGTATAATCTATAATTTGATATATGAAAAAGTAATTTCTTTTTGTTCATTTTAAAAGTTATTAGTAGTAAAATGTTTGAACGTTTATCTTATGGGGTTTGTCTTCTGCTATTGTTCCATTCTTAAATGTTTGTTTTCATATCCCTTTTACTAAGGTTTTTATGGGTATCTTTTTTCTATCACCACATCGTTTTATAAAAAAAAAAATTATAAAACAAATAAACACCTCATTTTCAACTGTCTTATAAGTAATGTTTTTAATAAATTTTATAAACACTTTAAACATTAGCATTTCACATTTTTATTTTAATTTAATAAAAAAAATTTCTTATAAAAAATAAAAAATAAAAAGCTTAGCAAAAAACCTAGCCTTAATTTAACTAGCTACTTAAATTTGAATCAATAATATATATTCTAGTGTTTACTACCAGAAATTATTTTACTATTTCAATTATATAATGGGTTGATTTTTTGTTTTTGAGGATGGAAGATATCTAAGAAAATAACAATTGATTCATTGTTCAAGAGAAAAGAGAGAAATAGTGATGACTATAGCACACAATCTATTCTGGTAGCATCAATTTCAAATCTAAAGTCTATGCCTAATACAAAAAATTTTGTTCAACCTCAGCCAAATACAATGCCTAATTTGGAACAACCTTTGACAAAAGTTTTGAAAATTGGACAAAAAATTGATATTGCTTCTTTGGAACATGATCCGGGCATACGTCCAAAAATTTCAGATTATCCTATCAATCAACAAGATGAAATTCACAAGGCATATATACAATTTGGTCCCTATCGAAACAACCCATCTGTTTATCCACTTTCTAGTCCAAAAGGAAATCTTCGTCGATTTCAAGCTTATTGGTTGGAAAGATTTCCTTGGTTAGAATATGTTGTACCTATGATTTTGATGATTACAAAACACATTTGAGTGACTAATTGGTTTATTTAAGTGTGTAGTTAAGTTGATAAAAGATTGCAAGTAAACTTGGATTGCAATAAAAATAGGCCAAAAGGATTCAAAATGTGCAGAGAGTCGGCTCTGGTGAAATGGAAGTGCAGAGAGCCGGCTCTGGAAGCTGCAGCCGGCTCTACAGACAAAAATTTGAAGACCGTTGCTTGGCGCGCGCGGAGAAAAGATGCAAAGCCGGCTCCAACTTTATAGCCAGCTGTGAGGGTGCATTTAATGCACAACGGTCGACTTATTTGAAGTATTTAAAGTCGGAGTTTCAAAGCCGGCTCAAAGTCTTGCAACCGGCTCTCGAGAAAAATAGAATAAGCTGCAAAATCAGATAGCCAGCTCTAGAAGTGTAAGCCGGTTCTGCAGAGCCGGCTCTAGAAAGTTAAGTCGACTCTCCTGACAATTCTGCAACTCGACTTTTGCATCCTACAGAGCATTTAATGACCCCCAACGGCTAGAAACGACTATTTTCTAACAAGGGGCTATAAATATGGTTGGTAACAGATCTGAAGAAGTTTAGAGAGTATTGTATTGAATATCTTTACCTACCTACATGAGCTTTAACTTGAGTTTTTGATCTTTGAGAGATCTTTGCTTGTAATCCTCTTCTTGTGCTATTAGTGAGTGATCTTG